AAATGCTTATACAAATCATTAAACATTATTATTTTTAAAATAATTTTGACTTTTATTTTAGCATGTAAACATGTCGATTTTTGTAAGTATAGGTGACCATACACAACATTATCAGAAAATAAGAGCAATAACTATAGCAAATTTAAAGCTGAAATTTCTAAAATTCAAACACATTAGATTATTTTCCTAAATTTTTAAGATTAACTTAAAAATTATATAAAAATGGCATCCACGTCATTTTCTTCAATTATATTTTACAGATAAATTCTCCGTAGAACAATATTAGATGTGTCATCGTCTTGTGAAACATCAACACAACTACTGTTGGATTAAAACATGCATTTCTGCGATATTTTAAACTTAAAATAAATAATATTTGTTTCAAATCAGATTAATTATACTTTAAATCAGTTAATATTCCTCAAAGTTTCAGAAAAGTATATTTTATTTTTGGAAGATTTTTTTAATAAAGAGAATTACATTGCAATGAAAGACTATTATAAAAGGGTGCTAATCTGCTATTTTTAAAAAAAAAAAAAAAAAGAGAAATTCTTCCCAATCAATTAAAATTAGTTTTTGAAATGCAGCAAAGTATTTTGCTTATTACAAATATTGAATTTATAAGCTTAAAATTAAAACTAAAGTAAGTTTCAAGAAAGATTTTTCATTTTTAAAAATTAATTTCAAACCTTAGGTATTGCATTTTTATGTGGAGATCCTTATATAAAGGGTGTTTCATTAAGACGGATTATATATAAGGGTGTTTCATTAAGATAGATCAAAGTCAGCAATAAATAAATCGGTGTTATTGATGAAAATTTTATTTCTCTATTGGATCATGTTATTTAAGTCATGGCAATTATGTGTGAAAAATAATATCACCCAAATGACTGACAAATCTGAAAGAAAAAGAAAAAAAAATCATCAGACACTTAAACTTAATTCACATTTAAAATCGGTCCAAGTTATTGGAACACCTTTTAAAAGGAGAAAAGCACTGATTCATACCAGGACATTTGGTTAGTTGAAAGGGAGATAATCATTGGTTGACCCGTTGCAATCTTTCTTTTTCTGCTGATAGATAACTTTGTTGCCAGCCATTAACTGTTTGCAAGAAATCTTTTTAAAGCAGGTAGTTAGGAATGATAATGAAATGCAGTTTTAGACCCAATACACAAAATGTCCCAATATTTACATTTGGAAATATCAAAAAAAAATTTTTTTTTTTTTCTTCATGAAATTAGTAATTTATATATTGATATCAGTGAAAAAAATTTTTGTTCATAACTTAAAGCAATTCTTAAATTTATACTGCTATTGTCAGGTAGATGTTTAACCCTTGTCTTCCTCCTTTTCTACCTCCATACATCTAAATTATAATTGTAAACAATGATTTTTTTACAAAGTAAAAAATTTCACTGAAATCCAGGGTGTCCATAAAGTCAATTACAATTTTATATATATATATATATATATATATAATTGCAAAATTAAATTAGGGGTTTTTTTTTTTTGAAACATGGTTGGAACTGTGTAGCAAAAAAAAAAACATATTTTAAATCAATTAATTTATGATATTAATGCTCTGTAAATTTACATTGAGCACTATTTTGTAAAAATAAAAATATCTATAAGAACACTGGATTTTATATCTTACTGTTCTTTCTTTTTATATATATATATATATTTTAAATTTACAATTTAAAAAATTTATTACAAAATCACGAGTAGATATTGAAGCTTTTTTTTTTTTTTTCTTTTTTTTTTAACTAATTTAATGCACCTCTATATGGGTACCATTAGTTGTACAAAGAACATCAAGACGGCACTCAATTTCTTGTCAGGTTCGCTGTAGCATAGCCTCATTAGTGGTAGTAATTAGATCAGTGATCCTGTATCTTTGTTCAATATACAATATCTTTAACATAACCCCATAGAAAGAAGTCCAGGGGAATGATATCTGGTAAATGAGGTGGCCACGGAATTGGGCCATCCCTTCCACTCCACTGGTCTGGAAATGTTAGGCATACATTTAACAGTACCTCCTTTCATCAATAGGATACTTGAAATACACAAATGCAATGTGATTAAAACTTTGATAACTACTGAGTACATATATACAAATCTGATTAAGATATCTCATCAGTTGTCTTTGTAATATATTTTTTAATTGTAAAGAGACTTTATGGACACCCTGTACAATAAAAGTCCTTTAAAAAAGGGAAAAAAATGTTAAAATATCGTAGTAAAAAATTATTACAAAAGCAAATGAACAGAGAAGTATGCAGAAATCATTAAAAAAATGAGTATATAATAAAGTTTTTTTTTTTTTTTTTTTTTTTTACTAATTTAATCCACCTTTATATGGGCACCCTGAGTTGTCCGAAACACATCAAGACTGTACTCAATTTCTTGCCATGTTCACTGTAGCATAGCCTCTTCAATGTTACCAATTAGATGTCCCATATCTTTGTACACGATATCTTTAACATAGCCCCATAGAAAGAAGTTCTGTAGCTTTGCTAAGTCTGTGTATCCGATTTTGTTTCAATAAACCATGACATACATTGCATCTTTTCTTGAAGTCGCCATTTTTAGTGATTCATTTAACAGTGCCTCTTTCTTCACGGGATACCTGAAATGTACAAATTCAGTGTGAGTAAAAACTACTAAGTACATAAAACAAATCTGATTAAGATATCTTATCAGTTGCCTTTGTAATATATTTTTTAAATTGTAAAGAGACTGTATGAACACCCTGTATGTTTGAAAATTACCAAGTTTTAGTCTGAAAACAAGAAAATACAAACTTTTAGCAAAATGGTCCAAATATATGGAAAAAAATAATAAAATCTGAGACTCTGACATCTTGTCACCTACATGGGTCTTTTAAACATCCCATTAATTTTGGGTCCTAGCCAAGTCCATCCATATAACAAGCCTGAAAGCTGTATAGCTAATGATTTGCATTGGAGGTGACCTAAATTACTGTTAATTATGAGAACGTTTTTTTAGTAAGACAATCGTTAGTCATATCCAATAATTAGTTAATTAGTAACTCTTACCTATTAATAGGAATCAATTATTATTTCTCATTGATCAAAAAAGCAGAGAAAATGTACTTGAAATTCAGAAACTGTCTCTAACTTTTAGAAAAAATACTTATGAAAGTATAAAGATAGTTTAGGTAAAATATTAACGTAGATCAATTCACATTAATACGAAGGGGGTCCCCCAGGGCTCTATCCTTAGACCTACATTGTTTCTTATTTTCATCAATGTCCTTCACAGTGTCATCAGTTCTTGGTAGCTGTACTGATGACACACTTATTTGCTTTATTTATTTGTCTTAACGGTAAGTCTAATCTATCTGATAAAATTGGCAGCTGAACCCAGAAATGACCTACAATCTGTTGTTTACTGGGGCAAGGAACTGCTTGTTAATTTTAACAACTTCAAAACGAAACTGCTCTCTTAATCGTCTGAAAGAACATTTTTGCCTTCCATCAGCATGGCTGATGGTAACCTCCAGGAGAGTGACTTCTCAGGTTAATGTTTACCACTGACATGAAATTAAAAGATTATATTGAATCAATTACTAAATCTGGTACTAGGAAAGATTGTTCACTGTATCATGCAAGATGATTTTTCTCCAGAATCTATCGTACACATTTATAAGTCTGTTGTGGATTTGAATCAACCCACAACAAAGAAAAAGGCGAGAAAGGTTTTTAAATATAAAAATGTAAAATATTTTTATTTTTGTGTTTTCTTTTAAATAAATTTTATTTTGGAAATAGTCTATCATGTTTTAAATATGAATGGTGAAGCTCACACTGATTTCATTCAATTTCTTTGATTTTGGGACAGTTTAAAATTTTGGGGGTACAATTAGTTTTGGGATGGGGGTGAATTTGTCTGCTGGGAATTTCTATATTATTAAATGCTTTGTATCTGATATGTTGGGGTCAGTTCTTCCTTGTGGCCCATTTTCAATGTCAAAAATTCCAGGCCCACATGAGCACAAATAGAAATTTCATGTAACAGGAAATAACGTTTTATTTACCAAAGCAAAATGGAATAGAAAATATAAATTCTGACTGGTGACTACACTGCTCCCAGTGTCCATCTGTCAGCTTGTCAAATCAAACTTCCAAGCTTTGGTTCGGCTTCTGGCATAAGTTTTGACTCTTTTTCAATCTGCACTTCCAGGAACATTTTAAAAAGTTGAGAATCATGGCTTTGTAGTTCTTGTTTTTATATTTTTCATTATTTTTCTCTCTAATATATTTATAGTTTTTTTTTTTTTTTTTTTTATGCTTTTGTTTTCAATGTTTCATTAATTCTAGTTGTATAAATGCCATCCATTTGCATAAAATTATGCCCTCTACCTGCTTTCATACTTCTAACTGGTTCCTTTCAACTATTCTTTTTTTTCAGGTGGTTGTCACCTCTGATCAGATTGAGGCTGCAGTGGAGAAGGTCATCGCCAAGTACAAAGACACTCTGCTTGAGAAACGATACCATATGAGCATGGGCGTATTGATGGGTGTCTCTCCTTCGGGCCAACTTGAAAACAAAATGGAACTTTTTTCATCAAACACGAGGTAGACATGCAGGTCCTTGACTTGCTTGGACCAAAGACCGAAGCTGACCTGGCCAAACCTAGCAAGGTGAAGCTCTCGAAACAGACTGAGAATGCCCAGGTAAAAGCGGCCTCAACCAGCAAGACTGATGCCCAGTTTGAAAATTTTCTCGGCAGTGATGGTCACGTAAAAAGCTTTATGGAATTGGTTGGAAATTCAGTAAAGTTCCATAAGCCTGGCGAAAATTACACGACCAACGGCTACGTTATGACTTCTAACACTATGAATCTGATGAAGAAGCATTTAGAAGAGACTGGTGGGAAAGTCTACACGCGGTTCCCACCCGAGCCGAATGGTATTCTACATATCGGCCATGCCAAAGCAATCAATTTTAATTTTGGTTATGCAAGAGCTATGGGTGGCCACTGTTATCTACGCTATGATGATACAAACCCAGAAAAAGAAGAGGAGAAATTTTTCCGTGGCATTAGAGAAATGGTTGAATGGTTGGGCTACAAACCGTGGAAAGTGACTCATGCCTCAGACAATTTCCAGGAGCTGTACAACCTTGCCGTCGAGTTGATCAGGCGAGGTCATGCCTATGTTTGCCACATGAAAGCCGAGGACCTGAAGGGTTTCAATGTGCCAGATTCACCCTGGCGGGATCGTCCGATCGAGGAATCACTCCAACTCTTTGAGGACATGCGCAAGGGAAAAATTAACGAAGGGGATGCAACGCTGCGAATGAAAACCACTCTGGAGGAAGGTAAAAAAGACCCCGTTGCCTACCGCATCAAGTTCACACCACATCATCGTACGGGTTCAGAGTGGTGCGTCTACCCAACTTATGACTACACGCACTGTCTATGTGATTCCATTGAGAATATCACACACTCTTTGTGTACAAAGGAGTTCCAGTCTAGACGTTCCTCGTACTACTGGCTGTGTAATGTGCTTGATCTCTATTGCCCTGTGCAATGGGAATATGCCAGGCTTAACCTACACTATGCCGTTGTGTCCAAGAGGAAAATTGCCAAACTCATAAAGGAGAATTACGTTAAAGATTGGGACGACCCTCGTCTGTTCACACTGACTGCTCTTCGCCGCCGTGGTTTCCCTTCTGAAGCTATTAACCTCTTTTGTGCTAAGGTGGGAGTCACGATGGCCCAGACAGTTATTGACCCATCTCTCCTTGAAGCCTGTGTCAGGGACGTTCTCAACATCAGCGCACCCAGAGCGATGGCAGTGATTAACCCCTTACTCGTGAAAATCCTCAACTTCCCAGCCGACCACTGTGGAGATGTAACAGTTCCAAATTTCCCAGCAGACGAAAGCAAGGGAACCCATAAGGTTCCTTTTTCATCCGAGATTTTCATCGAGAAGGATGATTTTAAGGAGTTGGCTGATAAAAACTACAAACGTCTTGCCACCAACCAGATTGTTGGTCTCCGGCATTCTGGCTACACGATTGAGGTGGTCAAAGTCGTTAAAGACCCGGAAGGTAACCCACAAGAACTTCATGTTAAGTGCCAGGCAACACTTGAAAACAAGCCGAAAGCATTCATCCATTGGGTATCAAAGCCACTGAAATGTGAGGTTCGTCTCTATGAGCGACTCTTCCACCATCGTAATCCAGAAGACACTAACGAAGTCCCGAATGGCTATCTGAGTGACATCAACAAAAACTCACTTGTGACTGTCTCGGAGGCTTTGATCGATATGTCTGTGAAAGGTTCAAAGGCTTTTACTCGGTTCCAGTTTGAAAGGCTGGGTTTCTTCAGTGTTGATCCGGATTCCACAACTGAGCAACTAGTGTTCAATCGGACAGTGACTCTAAAGGAGGATCCTAATAAATGTTAAGCTAACACACACATAGGCCTTTATTCAGCTCTCGGATGTTGTAGCCGAGCAAAATATTCACATGCAACAAGTGAAAGAAGATTTTGATGCGGAGAGCTCTCTCTTCTAACTAGTGTACACAGAAAGTGACAATATTATAAAATAATTCCCTAACAAGATCTTAGGGGAGTAAAACATTCAGTTATATCACTTGAAATTATTCTAATCTGAAGAGGAAGAAGAAAAGAAATCCTATTAAAACATTAACATAGATGATAGGATGAAATTCCTTTCATTGAAAGCCAAGTCAAAGAACTGAAGTGACAAACTTTTTTTTCTTCTGCAGTTAAGGGCTTAAAGAACATTGTAACTCTGGGTGTGGGGTCATAGTTAGTTTGGATATTTTACAGTGATCCAGAAGATTGTATTGCGCCAATTTACCTAAGTATGGAAAATTATTTAAAAAAAAAAAAATCAATTTTTGGAAATCATAGTTACAGTAAACAAGTCTTAGGTACTCTCTCTTTGTGTGTGTGTGTTTTTATATATATATATATATATATATATATATATATATATATATATATATGCAAATAAGCTGACAAAACCTCAAAGGACTTACCTTATGGCCAGTTTCAAATATATGTCACTTGTCAGGGTTGAATAAATCTACTGGATTATTAACAGGTGTCGTATTTATATACTCTATATAAAAAATGCTAATCATAGAATCCAAGCCAATTTAGAATTTGTACTATGATTAAATCCTTTAAAGGTGTGACATTTAAATATTCAGGAGCGTTATAATAGAACTATTATCAAGTTAAAATATTATACACGCATACCTGACTAGTGTTGCATATACAAAACATTGAAGTATGTCTAAAGATGAGTCAATTGAACGTTATTAATTTATTCAATATTGTCTTTCTCATTTTCTATTGAGCACTTTCTTGAAAAAAAAAATGCTGACCTTGAAATACATTAAATTCTATTAATGTTATACACACAGACATGCATATATATGGTCTATCACTGTGTATATACACTGCATTTCCTATTATTAACTATGAAATAGCTAATAATGGGAGATGCCATGTATATCTACATTATAATCAATAAGTTGTAATTGACTTATCTTGTGACCAACTTCAAAGTTTTGCAGATATACCACTCACCAGGGTCAGATGAAACTATTGAATTTATTACCAGATTACCATGTTTATATATGCCACAGAATTGAAATTTATTTCTCGTCAATGATCAGTTTATTATGTGGGGGATATAGATATATCTTAATAATTCAATAGCTTTGTCTGAATCTGATAAACAGTTCAAAACTTTGAACCCTGTTGCAAGATAAGACCATTGAACTTTTCTTAATTTATTGACTTGTTGATCTGATTCTTTATTGAGCACTTTCTTTGCAAAAATTTGCTTGATTTTTTAATGTTAAATTCTGGTAATTTATATATTTGATAGGTATTATTTATTTTATATATATATATATATATATATATATATGTATATGTAAGCAAATGTAAATGGATATAGATCCGACAGAATGAAGAAAAATTTGGAAAAAACAAACAAAAATCCTTAAATGCAATTATGTTGTTTAAAATGAATGAAATGTCGACGTCTGACGTTTCGGTTTAATAAACCTTTTTCAAGACAATATTCATTAAAATAAAATTCAGTTCAATTTGACAAAGACGATGGACATAAAAAACAAGTCTTATCCAAAACAGAAGGTAGGTAGTAGAAATTAATTTAAACAAATATTAAATTCAGTTAAAAAGGTCCTACCTTTTTAAAAAAATTTTTATTGTATTTTTCTAATTTTTGAATAAGTTGTTGCACATTCTAATTAAAATTGTGGATAAACTGTCCAAAGTTTAAGTTTTTTGTTTGAATACATTGGACCCTACTAACATTCTTGTCTACAATTTTGACAACATTGACTTCCTGATGGTCAAAAAGACTTGAACAAAAATATGAACTTTAGACATTTTAACCACAACTTCAGTCCAAATATGCAACAGTTTATTTGAAAATTGATAAAATGCTATAAAGAAAAATAAAAAATTAACTGACAAATCATGTCTATTGAATTTAATAGATTGTTTTTAATCATTTCACCCCAAGCAAGTCAATAAAGCCACTAAGATGCAAGGAGTTACTGAATGTTAGAAAACATTTAGAAAAAAAAAAAGACTATTAAGTAGAAAGAACAATATAAGAAGAATAATTTAAAAAAAACATGACTATTGACATTGCCTTTAAATTTTTAAAGATCAAATTTACCTGGTAAGCAATATGACACAAGCAAGAAGTGCAATAGAAGAAACTGTTAACATAGAACTTACGGTTCCATCTTGCCATTTAAACTATAAAATGAAATCTTGTCACTAGTCTAGTACTGCACTTAAATTCATAGCCTAGGTACATAGTGAAGAGCTTGTCCGAGCAATTACCATGAAAGAATTTATTTTAAAAAAAAAAGGGTGGGGCACAAGGAAGCTATGCTAAGGGTGGTCGAAAACTGACTCAAGCTGAGGTACCAGGTCAGGACCAATAATTATTATTATTAACAACAAAAAACCATTAACTGGAAGAGAAAAGTGCATTTTTAGTTGAGCTTTAGAACTTTGACAGAAATTCCCATCACATGTAGTTCATAGGTAAATGCAATTTATGCGTACAATAGTTTAAATAGCGAGCTCTGTTTGATCTATATTCTCAAGACAATGTGTATTCGACAAACACTATTTCTGAAGACACTTTTCCAGAAAAAAAACAAAACAAATAAACCATTTTGTTCACTTTGTCCTTCCATAATAAAGATTGTTCTTTGACTTTCTTGTGTATTCAGTTTGATTTTAAGTGTTCGCTTTTAACAGTTTTCTTCACTAACCTGTAATGTCCAAGAATATATTCATCACTGGAAAGCCAGTTTTATTCACAGCTTGTGGAGTAAAACATGAAGAAAAGGTGCAAATTACAAGACTGGATTGTCAATTAGATATTTTATATCGAATATATATTATATTATTCAAACGGGTTTGATTAAATAATTTAGACATCTGTTGATTTATTTTGGTTTTGATCATTTCAAGTTCACAGATTAATTTCTTGGTAGCCTTAGAAAATTGATTAAGAAAAATGCCTATGAATATATATATATGTGTGTATATATATATATATATATATATATATATATATATATATATATATATATATATATATATATAAATGCAGATAAATAATTTAGTTGTATAGATTAGTAAAAGCGACTAAGGGAACTTTAGTTGATTTACCTTCCACCCCACTACAGGAAATATATAAATATACATTGATAATTATTATATTGTTTCTTTATATATTCTATATAAAATAATTATATATTACTATATACTGCCATTAAGTAATATTATATACTATAGCAGAAATTATGTATTACTATACATAATCTTCATATATTATATTAAATGGGATTGCCATAGTCAGGATCATCGAGTGAATGTGAACAATCCTTTCCTTACCTGTATAGCATGTTCTTTGACAGGGCTACATACACTTATGAATTCAGTGTTTTTTTTTCTCCTAGATCGGTTGCCACCCAGAACTATAAAACCCAGTCTCTCCTACTATTTACCCATAGCTGGTGGGAGAATAGGTGGATTCATACCTTTTCCAACATTATATAAAAATGACAAATATTTTTATATATATATATAAGTATAAAAATCTACATAAGATACTGAATAAAAAATAGTCAAATTAAGCTACAGCTGCACAGTAATTTAGATAAATAACAAACCTCAAAACCAACATGCAGCAAAATAATACTACTAATTTATGCAACTGTAGAAATAAAATTAGATGCCCATTAAATGGAGCTTGCAAAACGGAATCTATCTTACTTATAAAACGCAGATTGTATGTGTGTGTCTGTAACGTTTATATATTGGATCGGATTTCCTACATTTTTCAACCGATTTCAACAAAACTTCACAGGACTACATAAAATTACCTTGTGGTTCTAAAATGGGAAAAATATAATTGTTTTTGCACAAAATCAATTTGAAAACACGATTAAGAGACATCATGAAAATGGAAGGCGGACAACTCACATCGGGTTTGTGTGTGCGGTTTCCTTTAAATATGGGATCGGATTTCCTATATTTTTCAGCCGATAAAACAAAACTTTTTTTTTTTTTTTGGCAGGTAGTGTTTCTTATTCTCTTACACACTTTTTTCTTTATTTTTAATATTCACAATGCTTTAAAAATTCCATTTACAAGACAATTATTTATAATAAAATTCTATTCAATTGGAGAGACATAAGTTAACAATTGAAAACAATGTTTTTTTTGTTTGAGTTTGGGTTTGACCAATTCATAAAAAAAAAAAAAAAAAAAAACTAATTAAGACATGCGTGTCCGTCAACCTTAAACAATAATCTAACGATCTCTACTGATTGTACGAATACAAACATCGGATAAATTCTTTATCTTTAGGAAAGATAATGAAATCTAAACATACACAAGTCCTAACTAAAAAATAATAACCGAACGGGAAACTACTTTAATTACACATGGTGTCCAATTTTTTTTTACTGTATTCAATAAGTAAAAATCATAAACTGTAAAAGATTATTATTACAGAAAGGCTACTAAATGAATAAGATTTGTTAGATCATAATTAATAAACCCAAATAAAGTTAATATTTTTTGTATTAGAAACAACGAGTGGAAAATATATTCAAATCAGAATTCTAATTATGAATCACCACAAGCAAAATATGCAATTTTTTTTTTACTGTATTCAATAAGTAAAAATCATAAATTGTAAAACTAAAAAGATTACAGAAAGGCTACCTACATTTTTTCAACCGATTTCAACAAAACTTCACTTTTTTTTTTTTTTTTGGCATGTAGTGTTTCTTATTGTCTTGCACACTTTTTTCTTTTATTTTACATTCAGAATGCTTTAAAAATTCCATTTACAAGACAATT